ATATATATATATATATATATATATATATATATATATAAAATATTAAACATTACCAACATTTTCAGAATTTTTGATTAAAATTCTTAGTAGAATAAGATTCTTAGAAGAAGACAAGATAATTTAATGAATTATTCATATTATTATTATTATTATTATTATTGTTAATATTAATATTTTGTAACTAGGTTTATATGTTGTCTGCGTGGGTAGATAATTTTGTTGCTAAGAAACTAAACGGACTAGTCATTCTTCCTCTTTCTTTCTACCTACCCCCTAACCCCTAAACCCCCTAAACCCCCTTCTTCCTTTCACCATATATTCCACCTTTCTTCCCACTTTCCCTCTTCCTTTTTTCCCCTCCTCTCTCTTTCTTGTTCTAGATTTTTTAGGAAGATAAAGTGTAGGACGAATTACGAGCTTGCTAATGTTAGCCTCGTTTCTTTTTCTCTCTCTTTCTCTCTTTCTGTCTCTCTGTCACTCTCCGTTTCTCTCTCTCTCTGTCTCTCTTTTGATATTTCGTTGTGAGAACTACGACGACGAAGTTGGTTGCGATTACGGTGCAATGATGCAATGCACTAGAGTGTACCGGGGCAACTAAATTGATAAATTTGCATGCCTCGCTGTCTTCTCTCACAGCGTGTGCTCGAAAATAAAAGAATCAAAAGAGTCAAAGAGAAAGAGTAACAGAAAGAGAGAGAGAGAGAGAGAGAGAAAAAGAGATAAAGATATCACGATGGTTGAGTTGACTAGGAAGAAATGAAATTTTATTATGGCATTTTTATGTTTTGAAAAGGGAATATATTTTTCTATTTTCTATTTATTTATTTATTTATTTATTTATCATTGCTTTCAGAATTTTTAAAAGAGAAAGAGAGAAACAGAAAGAGAGAAAGATAGATAAAGATATCAGGATGGTTGAGTTGACTAAGAAAAAATGAAATTTTATTATAGCATTTTTATATTTTGAAAAGGGAATATATGTTTCTATTTTCTATTTATTTATTTATTTATTTATTTATTTATTTATCATTGCTTTCAGAATTTTTAAAAGAGAAAGAGAGAAACAGAAAGAGAGAAAGATAGATAAAGATATCACGATGGTTGAGTTGACTAAGAAGAAATGAAATTTTATTATAGCATTTTTATATTTTGAAAGGGAATATATTTTTCTATTTATTTATTTATTTGTTTGTTTATTATTACTTTTAGAATTTTTGGAAAATTATTTTCTAATATTTAGAAAGAGAGAGAGAGAGAGAGAGAGAAATATATATCACAATGCTAGGCTAGGAAGAAATGTAATTTTACTATGGCATTTTTATGTTATACTCGCAAATATATTTTTCTATTTTCTATAATTATTTATTTGTATATCTATTTATTTATTTATTTGTTTATTATTGCTTTCAGAATTATTGGAAAATTATTGTTTAATATTTAGAAAAAGATGAAGATATATCACAATGGTTGGTAGGCTAGGAAGAAATGAAATTTTATTGTGGCATTTGTATGTTTCACTCGCGAATATATTTTTCTATTTTCTATTCATTTATTTATGCATTTATTTATTTACTATTGCTTTCAGAATTATTGGAAAATTATTGTTTAATATTTAGAAAGAGATGAAGATATATCACAATGGTTGGTAGGCTAGGAAGAAATGAAATTTTATTCTGACATTTTTATATTTTCCTAGGAAATATATTTTTCTATTTTCTATTCATTTATTTATTAACTATTTCTTTTAGAATTTTTGCAAAATTATTTATAATATATATATATATATATATATATATATATATATATATATATATATNTTTCCAACTTACTTTGAAATTATCAAAGTACAAATATGAACCATTCTTAGAATACAAAATAAAATGCAAAATACAATGAAAATAAAACAAAGCAGCTGAAAACCTTTTGATACAATCTAATATAAATGCAATAACTTGCTTTATGATTTACTATTGATTAAGATAAACACTGTTTTTTAACTTACTTTGAAATTCTAAGTACAAAATAGTAAGTACAGGTATGAAACATGTTTAAAATGCAAAATAAAATGCAAAATAAAATGAATTAAAAAGAAATATAAAATTATCATCTTAAAGATCTCTTTGTATATAAGTGTGTTCACTATCTTTGCACAATTATCTAGAATTTCGTGAAAATTGGAATCTAACGTGCATGTAAATTGCAAATAGCAAATTTAAAGAGAAAGAGAGAGTGAGAGAGAGAGAGAGAGAAAAGTAATACTAGTACAGTTTGAAGAATATTGTAAGTCTGAGAGAAAATACCGTAATCATGCAAATCTCTTTCGATTTCTTCCCTTTTATACACACACACACACACACACATATACACACACAAACAATTCACCGGTTGATTGCTATTACGGTCAATTTTAGTTACAGGGTTAATCTCTGATGAAAGAACAGATTTTAATCTTTGCTTTTTATTTTTACTTTCTTTTTTGTTTCGTTTTTAGCTAAATTTGAGAACTTACCCGTAATAAAAGGAATTTCGGAAGTACGAATGATCCGCAGGTGTGTTTTGTGGAGCAGCATCGGGATCGTCTGTAAAAAATACAATAAAAAAAGGAAATGATTAATATAAGTGGCACAAAAATGAGATGTTAATGATAATTATAATTAAATTAAATATATTTTTGTGATTGATGTAATGTATCACAAAAATTCAATGAATTTATGTAATGGTTGTTTGAATGATTAAATAGATTAAATGATTATTTAATTATTGTTCAATTATAATGACATTTAATTTTTGTATATTTGTAATTAAATTATGTAATAATATAGTTTAATATAATAATATAATATATATTAATTTTTGTTAATTAATTTAAATAATTTTAATTATTTTAAAAATTCAATAATTCAATTTTAATTTTTTTTATTAAAATAATATAATATGTTTTATATTTATTTATATATAAGTGATTGTAGTATATATTTTATATATTTGTAATATACATTACAAAATTAATATACCTTCATGTATATATATAATAACTAATAACAATATTAATTATAAAAAATTAGAGTATTTAGATTATAGTAATATTAATATAATAATATTATAATACTAAATTATAATATTATTATATATACAAAATAGATAATAACAATATTAATTATAATAAATTAGAATATTTAGATTATAATAATATTTTAATATACTAATATTATAATAATAATAAATTATTAAGAAATAATTAATAAATTATAAATATATAAATATAATAAAAAATGAATAAATATTATATTTTAATTATAATAATAAATTATAATCATAAATATTTAAACTAAATAATAAATATTGAAAATAATAAAATTTTAATATTTAAATGTACAAAATAAATAAATAAACAATATTTAATATTCAAATTAAATAATACAAATATATCGAACCAATACATAATACTAAAACTAAAACTATTTAAATCCCTTATCTTAATAATACAACAAAATAAAAAATAAAACAAACAACAACAACAAACAATTTATTCGGAACAATTTAAAATAATCAGATGCACCTGGTGAATGAGGTGTGCAAGAATAAACCAAAGTTTAGAGATAAAAAAGGGGGATACCAAGTACCCAACAACCATCATCATAGTCGTCGTCTTCATCGTAGTCTAACAAAAAAGAAAAAAAAAGCTTATTACTCTGGACTTGAACGAAGTACGACGAAGAACCTTGTGTACACTAAACTTCTTCCAACGTAGAACACATAATTTTTTTTTTCTTTTTTTTCAATGACTACGAAAAAAGTAGACGACGAAATAGAAAGAAAAAAAAAAGAAAAAAAAAAAGGAAAAGAAAGAGAAGTAAGAGACGAGAAAAGAAGTGTCTAGGAAAATGAAAGAGTAAAAAAAAAAAGAAAAAAAAAAGAAAAAGTAAAGAAAGAGAGAGAGAGAGAGAGAGAGAGAGAGAGAGAGAGAGAACTAGGATGATCTCGTCGCATGAATAGGCACCTGT